CTGGCAATTAGTGGTAAATTGTTGGTGAGGTTTTTAATCTGCTAACATTCAGATAAGGGCAGGCAGCCAGCACCACACTCAGTGAAGTTTTCCATCTGCCCGAGCTTTGCAGTATTATTAGGAACAGTGTTATTTCAACTGTGAAAAGAGTGGGAACAAAAAAAACCCCACACCAACCAAAAAACTTTTATTGTACAGATTTCAATGGCTCATTCATCTGGTAAAAATCAGTTAAATTGGTTTGCTTTTCTTATGTCCAAGTCTTAAAAAAAGAAAAAGCAAAAGAAACCCCAAAACAAAACCTGACATCCTTCCTTGACCTGGTTATCTTTTCAAGCCTTCAGTTTATGCAGTTCCAAGTAAGAGACATCCCTGAGTCTGTTTCCTGAGTACAAGATCAGGCATGAGGATTTTAGCATGCTGTCTCCGAGGGCCAATTCCACCCCACTAGCAATAACTGAGAGTGTATGGGAAGGAAGAGCTAATGAATGTGAAAGACAAAGCAAAGGTTTACATTTCCCTTGAATTACAAAGCTCAGCTCAATAAGGGTGATTCTGTGTCCTGGGAACCTAGGCTTCAGTATAGATAGTTGATTTGCAATTATATTCAACCTTATCCTTTCATGTAGCACCTCTCATCCTTAAGTCTCAAAGCTCTTTAGAAGAAAATTGGTATCATAATCTCCTTTCCACAGGTAAGGCTGTCTTGCCAAAGATCAGGCATTGACCTTATGCCAGACTTGACAGCTGGTATCCAAGCTGCCTGACTTCCAAGTAGTTCAGAACACAGTCCACCAGGCAACGCTGGCTTGCGTGAAACACCAGTTAGATAGGGTTTATGTGTAGGGGAGAGACCAACCAATATGCATGCAGGCTAGGCAATTTGCCATAGATGGGCTGTACTGCTACTGTGGTAGAAAAGCATCTTATTTCCTCCAGCCCTACCCCTTTCTTGCACTGAGAGTAAATGTATATGGCTATATTATTAAAACATGAGAGCACATTAGACTGAAGAAAAGATGCATACTGGGAGCATCATTTATTTATCTCTGAGTGTGTTTTAGCATCCCCTTGGCTGGTAAGTAGCAATAAAAATGTAACATATATGCCATTTTTCTATGTCAAGCAAGAAGATGTGCTGAGTAAAAGTAAGTGAGGCAGGCTATAAAACAGAAGAACATGGATTGTTTCAGCTAAATGGCTAGTGCTTCACTAAGAACACGCTTCTGTTGCCTCTACTTGCCTACTGATGCTGACAGGTTTTTTTCCAAAATGGCTGAATACTGTCAGTTTGAATAGTCTTTGTTGGGAGTTTTACTAAAACAAGTAAAATAACATTAAATTAAAAAAAAATAAAAATAAAGCAGCACTGATTCAGAAGTCTGCAAGTCTCATCAGAAGAAATGATTGCTTGTCACTGCCCAGCTCCTGGATACAACCTTGAGCACAAGGCCAGCCCACAGGAGGAAACACAAGGGCAACAACACACAATCTAAAGGATACACAAATAAAATCTGCCCATCAGGATCAGCACCAGGAAATCAGCCCACATTACCCCAAGACAGTCGCTCAGTTTCACACTGAAGGTGTGATTCAATCAGCAACGTGCCATTTCAGGCTCGTGGCTGGCTAGCGCTCCCACATTACAGTCTTAAGTGCTCCACAGCTATTCTGCTCTCTACACTTTCACTGAGCTCCAGCAATCCAAGCAATAATCCTTCGGGATCTAGCAGGGAAAAAAGGCAAGGTATTACATGTGACAGCCACAACAGAACTGCAACGAGCCACGCAGCATTTGTGCCTGAGCCCCATTTTAAAGATGCCAGGGACCAGCACAGATACAGTTGCCGCTGCCTGCTCAAAGCAGTTCACAGTTCGAACACTAAACAAACCATACAAAGCCTGAACTATCAACCTGCATTTTGCATTTTCACAACCTTCACCCACCTGCATATTCTAACAAAACCATAGAGGACTCTGCACCTCCTGTTTCAGTGACCTGTCCTCAATTAGCCAGTCAGTTGTCTTTCACATGAAGGGAGATTTACTTTCTATTCTAACCAATATTATTTTTGTACATATTAGTCCTATCCAAGGACTTACACCTTCATTTTTGCCCCACATGTCCAAGAGAGATCACAGAGTAGAATCATAGAACCGTTCAGGTTGGAAAAGACCCTTAAGATCAAGTCCAAGCATTAACCAGGATATAAAGTATGTTTTACAAGTCAGATGATCAATTAGAACTGAACTGTAACATCTAAAATATTTGAAAACAGAGTAACAAGTCAGTCAAGAGGAAAATATTCCTAGCCTGGATTTAAAAGCTCCACGGCATTTTAGACAACTAAATGAGCAATTCTACAGCTTATGTAAATGTTAATCAGATACCGCATTCAAAGACTCTGCTCTGCATTTAAAGCATGTTACAGTTCAGTCTTGCATTCTTAGACAGTTACAACCTACACACTCCTTTACTAGACCAAAGCGAAGATCCAGGGTAGAAACAGCCAAAGAAAGATGGAAGGAACGCCCTGTATTTGAAGATCTGAAAAAAGTTAATATTATTCCATCTCATTTCTGCAGAAATCAGGCAGTCATGAGTTAATTGTTTCCATGCTGCTGACGAGGGGGACAACTGCAGATTTTCAAAACAGGGGCCCTGAGCCCATGTCACCCTTCAGGCTTTAGCTATTCCAGGGGGTAGAGAGGGGAATTTAGTTTGTCCTCTCAGACGACACTCTAGTTTACAGCCAACCTATATACCAGCCGTATCTAATTTAGTCAAGTTTTTCTCTGGGAACATATAACCACAGCTAGTTACTGATACAGAAAACTTCTCCAAAGTAAAGCACACCCAGAGGTACCTAGTGCTTAGGGAAAGGACTTAACACAGCATCTACTCTGACATGCATTTCTCCATACAGCCTTCTCCTACTATGACTCCAGCAGATGATTTATTACCCCATCTCTGACTTAAAAAAAAAAAAAAAAAAAAACCAAACCACAAACCAAAAAAACAACAACCTGCACTGTTGATAGCATTGGTCCTTCATGTGTGTCTGACCTGCTAGCACAAAAGCTTTCTCTTGAACAGCCAGCCTCTTCCAGCTCAACTGAGTCCCACACTGTTCTAAAAGCTTGGAAATTGAATCCTTATTGTTACCTAGAGAGAACCAGTCTAAGCAAACAACCCTGTCCTTGTTTGAACTCTGCAGAAGTTGGTCGACAGAGGATGACTTACCTGTTTTACCTTATCTGCTCAAATGTGCAATCACCTCCTTGACCTTCTTATACAGTCATGCAGCAAGTGAAGCACAAATCAGTAAAGGACATCTATATGTAACATTCACAAAAGATGATACAGGCATTTTCCTAGTTTCACTACAATCATAATTCAGCTTCCTTTGTGCAGCTGTACATCTCTAGCGAAGCTGATTTACAGCTGGGAAAGCAGAACTGGCGGCTTCTACTTGTGTGATAAAATCTACTTCAAGCAATGCACTAGTACAGTTCCTCAACAATTAGTTTCCTCAATGTTTAATCCAAAACATGCTTTCATGTTCAGACCATTGTATTTTTTTCATTCTGCTTCTCTCTGAAGAGCTGCACCTTTGTGTGTTGCTGGATTTTTGTTTGAAATACCACAAGAGGGTTAAACTAATTTAAGGTGAATAAATCTCTCAAGTTAGAAGTTCTTGTACAGCACCAGGGGAACCTGGTGGCAAAATAAAATTCACTTTGAATTTTGTCCACAAGAAACAGAAGAATGTTACCAGAGATGAATTTGAAGAAATGAATCTGTGCCTTTATACTTGACTTAATTGTCAGTTTAATGTAGTCAGACTTGCAGAAAAAAACCCAAGCCGCATGCACTATATCAGCTAAGCACCAGACATTTATACCTAAAATGTTAGTTTTCAGAAGTAAATAGGAGTTAAGAAAGCAACACAGGAAAAAGGCTAAGAATAAAACTCAACAATGGTTTCCAGGCTATATTAGTTCTATAAATGCCCAATCTTTATAGCCTAAGCGTCCCCCTTCCTCATCCTAGAGACTGATGAACAGGAGGAAAACACAGAAGCAAAGCACCACAGCTCCTCCTTAACATGTCACTTCTGAATACATTAAAGACAGTCTCTTGGGAAAGCCACCTACCCTGCATGGAGGCAGGGGGAAAAAAAGAGAGTGTCAGGACTGTTCGTTGATGCAAGCACCACATCACTCATTGCAAGAGGTGCAGCCTTCAGCCCTCCCAGGTACCAGTGGCAGCAGACAGCTCTTCTCTCTGCTAGCTGGCTGTTTGCTCACATATTTTCCATGGCTTTTATTGGGGAACCTTCCACTTTGCTTGCAGTCTTCCCTCCTCATCCACATTTCCCCTTCCCCATTTTATCTGCTTCCTTTAATCTGTCCCTCTTACAGCTCCACCACACAGTTCATGGGATACACCCCTTATATGTGGAGTGCCTAAGACCTACCCAGTAGCACTCAGTCACTTGACCAGATGTTGCATCTGTTTGAGAGTGTCCAGGGCACTATATAAGGCACAGCCTTCCTACGCAGTGCCTCTGTCGCACCAAACGGCACTGTTCAAGCCTACTGAAACACTGTCTTCTAAATTGAATGTCTTCTAAAATACCTGAACGTGCTCCAAGCTCTACCCAAGCCACAGGAGCATACTTATTACAAAGAGTATCATTAGCAGCACTGCTTGGAATTCAGAATCAATTTAATTAAATCTTATCTGCATTTGTCCAATGCTGCTATGATAAAAAAAGGCACTGATATGAGAACAACTGAAAAAAATGGAGAAATTAAAAAAATGGCGCTCCAAACAAGCTGCAGTATTTCTTCTTTTCCTTTCCTGCTCCTTCCCTGGCATAGCAATGGTATGATCCCTCTTTGAGTAGGGATACATACCTCATGAACCCAGCTGTAAAACCCACAATTCTGTAACCAAAATAAGTGTATTTCAAAACTAAGCCTTCAATACTCACCCAAAGTGTTTGTTGCAAAGTTTTTTTCAAGTCCATCTTCAGTTAATTCTCTGTTATTTACCATACATCCTGCATTGTTGATCTGCAAGACAATTCCTGTAAACAAAAATCACCTACACAAATATCTACAAACACCACCACATAGAAGCAGTCAATGTTAGTTTGCTGTTTTCTGACACTGCAATACAAAGCTACAAACTGTTTCAATAAACCATGCTATCCCCAGTCACACTACTTTGTTGCTGATGATAAAAAGGTTTTTCACAAAAGAAAGGATCTTCAGAGAAATGGCTCACCACAGATGTATTACACTAAGAGCCAACAGTTCTCTTAGTGCCTTACTTTATGCTTTTAAACTCTTTTCTCACAAGTTGAGGAGCAGATATTAAACATAAATATGCAGTGTAGTTTGTTAGACTCATCTGAGAGACCATGTTGACCCCACATCACCCATGTTATGTGGTGATGTATTCTCCATTAGGGGAAAATTCACTATGGGAAGCTGTACAACATGGCCTAGATGAACTCCCACCCTCAGCAAATTAAAAGAATTAGCTCCAAACCTGGCAGATTAGTCAGGTCAGCAGGTTGCTGCATCCTAGTTAGCCCCAACAAGAGCAGAGCTAACCAGCAGAGGTGCTTCATACCGACTTTGTGCCCTCGTTGTAGGGACCCCAGCTTCTCTCTCTCCCTAGCAACCCTGCACATATACCCCACCTGACTCACACATTGCTAAAATAGCGCTGCACCACACACCATGGATACACTGCGAGGTAAAACCTCATGAACAGCCAGAAGCTTACAAGCTGTGTGCGGCTAGCACATTCTCAGACACACTTCTTTCTCTGCCTTACCCTCCCAGAGGAAGCTGGAGCTTTTCTTTCCCACCTCAAAAGCAGATCTGCCCCTAGATACCTTCCTGCTCATTCACTGCTACTCCTCAAAAGCTATTTTCCCATTTTTATCAGAATTTCCTCACCTAGTAAGCACCAAAACAACTGCTCCAGGTGCCTCAGTTTTACTACAGCCCCCAGTGCAAATTTTCACTGCTAAATAAAGGTGAAAGAGTACCGAGCTCCTTACCAGCCATGCTGCTTAACTGTTTGCTCTCTCTGTGCCTCTATTTTAGACTGCTCTAACTAGACCTTCTATAAAAGTTTAATCTTTAAGAAGGACTAGCTTTAAGAGAGACAAAGTTATTAGTAAAAGTAAACAAAGTGTGTGGTAAGAACCTCAAAAGATACAGCTGAAAAAATACTGCTTTTCTGTCTTTTTTTTGTATCATATCTGTGTTTGAGAACTGAGAATGGACAAGAGCAAACAGACCATGGAGACTAGTGAAAAAACATTTAGAGAAAATTAAGGAGAGAATTGCGGGCCAAACTGTGAAATTTACACTACCTGTTGGACAGATTCATAGGCTTACACGCTCCAAAGACAGACACTTGATTTTAGTATGCAAACTTACCAACACATTTAATTTATGTTCATTTTTGAATTTTTCAGCAAACTTCCAGATTTCCTTGGGATTAGATATATCCACAATATGCAAGAAGATATTCTAAAGGAAAAAAAAAAAAAGTAAATTGTAATCAACATGGACAGGGAAGAGTCCCCGTTTGCTGCTAAGGCCTGTCTAGATGAAAAAGTGCTTAAGCAGTACAAAAAAAATGTTTTCTCCAGAACATAACTAAAACACTTAGGTTAACATGCACAACTGGGAAATCTAATTCTAGTCCTTAAAACATGCTTAGTCATTTGATTCAGTTGCTTCCGAGTCGTTTTTAATGCCAAATTTATTAAAAGAGAGCCTTACTTAGGTAAATATACATGACAGACAGTCAGGCATAGCAGAGGACTAGAAAATACTGCAATACTTGCAAAACTTCTGTTTAAACAATTCATATAGCAGCATCCTCTTCAGCTGAAAACAACTTTCCAAAGTAAAGCTCAAGGTCACAGCATTAAGAATAACGTAGGTTGGAAGGGACTTCTGGAGGCCACCTGGTCCCACTCCCATCTCAAGGCAGGTAACTGAGATCAGGTTGTCCAGGGAAGTTTTATCTCCAAAGATGGAGATTCCCCAGCCTCACCGAACACCCTGCTCCAGTGTTTGATCACCCTCATAGTAGAAAAAAAAAAAAAAAAAAAAAAAAAAAA